GACTGGTGAAATCATCACACACTTATTTGGGGAAGGAAGGGAGCTGGGCTTTGAAACCACAGGAGCATGTCAATGAGGCCTGTGTAAGGGGCCAGAGTCAAATCCAACCCAATCCCTGCGACCATCCTTGTGACCCTGGCAAGTCCCACTGCCCCTCTGAGTCTAGATCTCCTCAGGGCAAGTTTGGGCATCAGTTTACCACGACGAGGACTTGATGATCTATCTGTGCTCACAGGTCACCATCCTGTACCCGCTGTGCAAGAATTCAGTGTTCTGACATCTCTGATCTCATTTCACCCTCTTGACTTCCTACAGCCCCCAGCCTCATGGACAGGGCAGACAATGAACAGGCCGACCACAGAATGAACACCATATTTCACACAGTGACAAGTGCTAAGAACAAAATAAGGAAAAGCAGGGTGAGGGGCTGGAGCGGAGAACTCTATCATGAGGACATCCAGCCAGTTCAGCTGCTCCAGGGTGGCAGGATGAGCAAATGTGGAGCCCAAGGAGGAGGGAGCCTCCAGGCCAGCAAGGCCTGTGCAGCTGGAGCCCAAGGAATAAGGCAGCTGGTGGAAGTCTATGGGGTCAGGAAGGGAACAGGGACTGTGTCACATGAGCCTTTGGTCAGCCGTGGAGAGGGGTGCAGACTTGACTCTTAAGTGAGGCGGCAGGTTTGGAGCAAGGCACTGCCATGATCCGAGAGCAGAAACTGGAGGAGAACAAGGGGGACATGGGGAGACCAAGAAGGTGGCTGCTATAAATACAACACCTCTTACAGGTGAACCAGCAAAACCGGGACCTGAGACAAGAATGTGCATGGTACGCAGGTCGCCAGGGAGCTGGCAGTGGTGCTGCAACCTGCCATCCGTCCTCTCGCTGACCAGCTGCAGCCCTGGGGCCACAGACAGAGGCGGTGCGCCCCAATCCTAATTCAGATAGAAGCTCCTGGCAAGAAAGGAAGTGTGTTAACCCCTGGTTCTTAACAAATAACAATAGTAAAGTAGCAATGATAATGATATGGAAATAAGGAACACCTCTAAAGACTGGGAATTAAATTCTATTTAACAAAGTTCCTGCAGCTAAATTTTGCAGGCAAGAGGAGGGCTCGTGACCAACGCATGTCTGCTCTGATTGAACATTCTGTTCTCAGCTCCTAACGCCAAGGAGAGGAAGAGGACTCTCTGAAAGTCCTGTAAACACCCACACTGAGGACAAGACCCTGATGCTTCCGAAACAGTGTCCAGATAATTGCTTAAGTCATAACACAAAGAACAGCTGTGAAAAGTAATGATCACTTGCAATTTTTTCAGTTGAGGCCAGTAATTCAGTAATTAGTTTGTTTAGCTTTTTTTTAAGGCGCCTTATTATATTTAGAAGTATAACAGCCTCAACCTGTATTTTTGACATTAAGAAAGCCAGCTCTTCCTTCCAGGATTTTCAGAGAAGAGAATCCTGACAGTTCATTTTCTAAACCCAAGTACAATACAATGGCGTGCGTGCACTATGTGTGTGTGCATGTGTGTGCATGTGCACGTTCTTCCACCCAGGGAGCTGACTATGGGGTACACCCAACACATGGGATTGTGGCACAAGTCCAATTTGGCTAAAATCTGTAGAAAAAAACAGAAAGACACAACCCTTTATATTTACGCCTCAAATCTAAAGACACTGTTAATTTGCTGGAGTCGGATTCCATGTCTTGACAAAGGTTATTTCCAAGCTTGGTTTCCCCTATGCGAAAAGCAAGGCAGGTGGGGTGGAAGTCCAAATTATGAGACCAAAGTGTTGCCTCCCTTCCCAGTGGCCTGCCTTCTGAAGGGCCAGCCAGCCAGCTTCCCTGTTTGAAGAGTGGGGCAGCCATTCCCCACACTGAGCAGAGAGCCAAAGCCTGCCTGTCAGGGTCACTCACTTAGCGCACCGGACCCCAAAGACACTTCTTCGCAGAAGATGCTCCCATGATCAAGAGGCGGCAACCTGGTCATCTGAAGCTCTCTGCTGATGAGGAGATTGGAGGAGGGCTTGGAATTCAGCTGGGAGCATAGGGGAGTGAGACGGACAGGGGTTGCTGTGCCCTCTGTTCTAAAGGAAGTGAGGGGCGGTAACTTTGTCCCCATTTAGAATCCACTGGCCATTCCCCCAACACAACATTTAAAAGCAGTCCTTCCTCCTAAAATTTAAAAAGCATATGCCATTTTCTTAGCCACTCCCTTTGCAGAATGAGCTATCTAAAACCACTGGTATATGATGTGGACCCCAAGTTAAGAACCTCAACTATTAAAACAGATCAGAAAAAAGAAAACTACCATTTGGTGACCACCGCAGCAATAATTATTGCAAGCAAGGATTATCCACAGATGCTAAAATTAGTGGATAAGAAACAGGGTATGTGTATAGACTCAAAACAGCCCCCCAACAAAATACTTAGAACTGACAAAGGGAAAAATATTTACACAAGAGTGGAGAAGCCTGGCAGACACCACCCTAAGCAAGTGATCAAAGTTAACATCACCAGTAATGAGATGGACTGATTTGATGTACCTCTTACTACAAGGCCCAGAGGAAGCGCTGCCTCACTTTGACAGTCTCTCCAAAAATGCATCACCTCAATCAGATCAGGAGGAAACATCAGACAAACCCAAACTGAGGAACATCTACAATAACTGGCCAGTGCTTTCAAATGGGCCAAGGTCATGAGGGACAAAATAAGACGTGAGAAACTGTCACAGACCAGAAGAGACTAAGGAGACATGCCAACTCAAATACAAACTGGAGGGTTCGGTAAAAAAAAACATAAAAAGGATATTAGCAGGACAGTTGGCAAAATCTGAATAAGGTGTATAAATGTCTATGTTGAAACCTAATCCCCAATGTGATGGCATTAGGAGGTAGGGGCTTTGGGAGGAGATTAGGGCTCGAGAGGGGAACACTCGTGAATGGGATTAGCACCCTCGTAAAAGAGACCCCAGAGAGCTCCCTCACCCCTTCTGCCATGTGAGGACACCCTGAGAAGTTACCCATCTACGAGCCAGGAAACAGGTCCTCACCAGACACTGAATCTGCCAGCGCCTTGATCTTGGACTTTCAGCCTCTAGAACTGTGAGAAATAAACTTTTGTTGTCTAAGCCTCCAGTCTATGGCAGTTTGTCAGTCCAAGCAGACTAATATGGGGATGTTGGATAAAAGGTAAAGGCATACAGAAATTCTGTTTGCTATTTTTTTGTGCCAATTTTTGTAAATCTAAAATGAATCCAAAATGAAAAGTTTGAAAAAACACCTGTAAAAGAGTTAAAAATATATATATAATGATGCCTATATGAGCATATGGAATGATGTACTGAAGCATAGTCTACAGTAGAGAAAACTAGGAAACAACATAAATATGCAACAGTTGAGGACATGGGCAATAAATGGGTCCTTTCTCACAGATGTTAAAAATGAGGTGGCTCTGGGGGAAATGACTGCAACATATTTTTCTGTGAAGAAAGCGAGCTGTAGAACCAAAGAATATCATCTGGTCTTTGTTAAAGAAAACATATTTACATATACAAGTGGAGAAAAAAAGGAATGACACACTGTTATATTATAATGCGATTATGGAAGAGGACTGAGAACTCATTTTTACCTATTCAGTTCTGTTAATCTTTGGATTTTCTTTTTTTTTTTTTACAGGTAGTATATATTACTCTCTTCATTCTAACAAAATCAGCAACAAGAGTAGCAGGTAGAAGGCAAATCTAGCAACAAATGAGCCACCTCTCCCCCTGATTGGCCCGGTGGCCTGTGGCTCAGGACCAGAATCTCTGCCACCCTCGCTGGATCCAGCCATCACGCCACAGACTGATCCTGGGCATGGATGACATCCGCATGCTGAGCCCTGCAGCAGGCAGCACCACGCTGGCACAGGCCCTGACACTCAGGCTCACTCTCCATCTTTGATGATAAAAACATACCCAACCTGAGATGACCCTTGATGGTTAATTTTTGTGTCAACTTGGGTAGGCCACAGTACCCAGGTAGCTGATCAATCATGCACTCGGGTGTTGCTATGAAGGTTTTTTCAGATGATATTAACATTTAAAGCAGTAGGCTCTGAGTAAAGCAGATTACCCTCCAGAATGTGGGTGGGCCTTATCCAATCAGGTGAAGGCCTTCTTCCCCAAGGAAGAGGGACCTCTGCCAGCTTAGTGCCTTTTGACTCAGGCTGCGACACCGGTTCTTCCCTGGGTCTCCAGTCTCCAGCCAGTCAGCCAACCCTACAGATTTTAAATGCCAGCCCCCATAATCACATGAGCCAGTTCCTTAAAATCTACCCATCTCACATATACATACACATTCTATTGTTCTGTTTCTCTGGAGAACCCTGACTAATACAGACCCCAAGTAAACTGTCAGAGGAGGACATAAAGTGCTATCCTCACAAAGAGAAGAAGGGTTTTAGAATTTGAGGTTAGTGGATCCAAGCCGAAAAGGGAAGGGTCCTTGAAGCAGAAACCAGGTTGGACAGACGTTGGGGAGAGGGGATAAAGGAAGCCTGTCCTGGGCCAGGAACAGGGCCTGGAGTGGGCGAGGCAGGGTTACAGGGACCCTGAATGGGGAGGCTGCACAGGCAGATCTCTCCCTGTGAATGCTGAGGGTTGTGGTTGGTGAGAGAGGTAAGGCTGAGGGGTGGGGCTTGAGAGAGGTGGGGCAGTGACGGGAAGGGGCTTGAGAGGGGCCCCACCTGGCCATTCCCCACACCCTCAGCCCCTGCCCACGTGTGGGCACGTGCTCTTCTGCTCACTGAACACCCCCCGCATTGTGATGTTCTTCAGGGTGGGGAGCATGTCCCTTTCATCTCTGCACACACAAACCCCCCATGGCCTGGACGCAAAAGATGCTCCAGAAATGGGTGCTCAACTCCTGTTTCCAAGCATCCGCCCCCTCCCCAGCTGTGCTGGGGTGGATTCATCCCAGGGAACAGACAGGAAGGCCGAGCTGGCCAGCCCCGCGGCCTTTACCTCACGAGGTTGGCACAGGGCCCGGGCCACCGGCAGCTCTGGTACACACGCTGGACCACTGTCTCGGAGCCATTCTGCACCTGGCAGGACACCGTCCGTGTCACCGTGTGACGGCACCAGTGCCTGTGGGGAGAGCAACAGTCACATCAGCCCTGCCTGTTCCTGAGGCGCTGACTTCAAGTCAAAAAGGCCACACTGCCTGAGAAGGAGCCGCTCTACGAGGCTGGGGGTAACTCGTCCTCTCAGGTGAGGTGCCCACTGAGACCCTCTGTCCCGGCCTAAAGGGACGGGGAAGTCCCCACACCCACACCACCAATCCCTGCCTTCATTTCAGTCATCAAACACTCCATGTGGAATCAGTGAAAAAGCCTGAATCCCTGCCCACTGGGAAATCCCACCCCAGTGGGGAGACAAACGAGGAAACGAACGCAACCCACAGGATCGCAGGGCCGTGGGTGCAGCCACATGATGCACACAGGCAGCTATGGGGACAGAGCAGGACATCATCTAAGTGAATAAGCCAGACACAGAAAGACATATACTGTATGATCTCATTCATACGTGGAATCTAAAAGCGTTGGACTCCTAGAACCAGAGGATAGAACAGTGGCTGCCAGGGACTGGGGGTCGGGAGAGATGGGGAAATGATAGTCAGAGGGCATTACTTCCAGTTACAAGATGAGTAAGTTCTGAAGAGCTGATGCACGGATTAGATCTGTACACGGTGACTATAGGTAATAATACTATATTGTATATTGGAAATTTGCTAAGAGTAGATCGTAAGCATTCTCACCACACACACACAAAAAAGTAACTATGTGAAATGACGAATGTGTTAACAATCTATGCTAATCCTTTCACAATGTATACGTATATTAAATCATCACATTGTATACCTTTTACATGGAACATTCTAAATATATGCTTTTCAAATTTGTCAACCATAGCTGAATGGAGCGGAAAACATAAATAAATAAAAATTTACAAGTCCCTAACAGCATCAGAAAACAAGAAGCAGTGGGCCGGAAATTTTGAGGAATCCATGAAAGACTGAAAGTAGATGGGATTAAATTGAAGGAGGGAAGCACAGCCCCAAACACAAAGGGAAGAGGACTGGGGCTAACGTGGGTGGGAGCAGGAGCAACTCAGAAGCAGAGGGGGTGGCTAATGGGAGAGGGGAGGGGCCCAGAGGTGACTGCCAGGGGAGCACAGTAGAAGGAACCAGACAGGTAAGTCCTGGACCACATCCCAGTGGATATCAAGACTAAGGCATGGGATTCACCTGCCTCGAGGCAGGTGTGGTGAGAGTAGGTGCCTTGCAAGCTGATGACCTCCTACAGAAACTGGGACCCTCTCAAAGTCAGACCACTAAATTCTTGCACACTCCTTCTCTATCCTTCACTTACACCATCAACACTTGAAGAGAAAAGACAGCAGTAAACAGAGAAACAGAGACAAGCTAGCGGCAAACTCCAAACACCAATAATTTCGATTTTTTTTTTTTTTTAGAAAAAAAGCCAACACTACGAAAGAAAGATACCAACCCAATGGATGATGTATCACAACTCAGGAAAAAAACAACTAATAAAGCAAATAGAGGGAGGCAATTTTTTAAAGCATAATTAACATCCTGATGTAGATAAGAAACTTTCATTCATAAAAAAATATTATGAAATGAAACACTTCAATATCTTGGGAATGAAACATATGACTGTGAAAGTAAACTCAAAAGATGGGCTGACAAACAGAATGGACACGGCGGAACAGTGAGCTGATGAGCTGGAAATCTGAACATAAACTTTCCAAGGATGCCCTACAATGGAAAAAAGGGGTGGAAATATGGGAGAAAAGGCAAGGCACCTGGAAGACAGACCATATCCCAACATAACGCTCTGGGAGGGGAGATCAGAGGGAGCAAAGTATATACTTGAAGAAATAATAAAGATAACTTCAGAGCTGAAGATATGAGTTCTTCATTCAAAAGGGCCCACTGAGTACTAAGCAAGATGAACAAAAACAGACATATTATGGTGAAATTTCAGAACATGATCCCAACATGGGATCAAATGCTAAATGATGTAGAAAGAAAAGGAAAACAGATTACCTATAATAACCTGAAATGAGATTTCTTATCAGCAGCATCAGATTCAAGAACATAGTGGCACAAAGTTCTAAGGGGACATATTTAGAATCCAGAATTCTATATACACAGGCAAACTCTCCTTCAAAGGTTAAAGGTATTTTCAGATGCACAAGAACTCAGAAAGTTTACCAGTCACCTTTTCTGAAAGAATGACTAGAGGATGTATTGCAGCAAAATAAAATAAAAGACATAGGAGAAATATATTCAATATCAGAAGCAGTTAATGAGCAAAGAAACAGTCATAAGATTTAATAACAGCCCAAACCTAGAATCCAAGGCGATCTCAAGATGGAAGATAGATAAGAGAGACAGAAGAAACTCATAATAGTTGTTGAGGTACTTCTCTTGTTTAAGGAAAGGAGAGAGAAGGTGTACAACTTTAGGAGTAGTAGCAATACACAATCAAGTATAATTTTCAATTTGAAGATAAATACTAGCAAGGGTAGGAGAGAAAACAAAACTAACAAACCACACAAGAAAAAAAGTAAAACAAAAAAAATTCGATTAACTCAACAAAACACTGGAAACGCAAGATGTCAGCAATAGAAAACAGTACCTAGCAGACACAGGAAGTAGAAAGGAGAAGAAAGGAATTACAGATGCAAGCAGAAATTAAGAAGACAGGTTACAAAGTGAATCAACAATACCAAACACAGGTGTTTAAAAAAAACAACCAAGTAGACAAAGCTTAAACAATTCTTAATGAGACTCAAAGAAAAGACATACAGACATTAAGAACCAGAAAAAATGTCCAGATAGAGGCTGAAAATTAAAAGTAAATATTATATATGATCTTGCATCAAAATCTTTCAAAATCTTGGTGATTTTCTAGGAAAATATGTATTACCAATATTGGCACAGGCAAAAATATCATAGAAGAAAATGAAAAAGTAGTCAAAAGCTGATTCCTCTACCCAGAGGCACCAGAAGACCGAGTTCAAAACCTGGTTCTGCCACCAACCGGCTGTGTGACTTGGGCAAAGTGATGTCCCCTTTCTGAACCCCAATTAAATAAATATGTCTGCCTCTCAAGGTTATTTTGAGGACTACATGAGCAGATCCAGGTTATTGGCATATAAATCATGCAGTGCTCCCTAATCCAAGGAGTCATTATTGATTAGCTGGCTACTTAAACCCCACGATGTCTAAGGATTCTCATTCCTATTTTGCAGATGGGAGAAGTCCTGGGAGGTCAAACCTCATTGCCCATAACTCAAACGGGAGGCTGAGCTGGGAAGGGAATCCAGCCTTCCTGACAATGACCAGCAAGGTCCCACCCACCCAATACAAACCTTACTCCCACCTTTGCCAGTTTTGTATGGAAGTTTCTGTACAAGCTGTCACTGGCCTGGGCCCTCCCTTCATTTATACCAGGGAGCGTCAGTGCTGTTTCCGGCATTCGGTGTGATTCTCCTTGGGATGGACCACTGTCCAGTCTGAGGACAATGCTCCGCTCGGCCATCTGCCGCTGGTGGTCTGGGACAGACAGACTGTCCAGCCATCTCTGAATCACACTAGCTCAGAACTCTCTATAGGCAAATGAGCTGTGAATTGGAAAACACTTTCAAATGCCTCCTCCAGACATCTGATCTTTTAATGGGCTGGAAATGGCTTCCCAAAACCAAAACCTGGCCAAATACAATGAAGAAGGCAGGCAGAGACAAGGAAAGAGAGCTCCAGGCCTTTTCAGATAGAATTCAAAACCCCACTCATCTCCAGGGACCCGTGGTTCTGGGGAATCAGTGCCAGGCGCTTTGCTCCCACATGAGGTCCCTCTTAGGACCCCCATGTCTTGAGCATTAAGTCTGTGTCTTCTGTTTGGTGGGTAGCATGACACCATGGCCCCCCCACCCCCAACCCCTGACCTCGGTGGATGCATAGTCTATGTGAACAGGCTCATGGGCCATGCAGAAACCAGCTTGGCAGGAGATTTACAGCCCTATTACGACCCTCCTAGAAGGACTGGCCCAGGAGCACAGTATCGGAGAGTCGCAGGGCTGCCCTTGAACTGCCTGAGAATTGAGGGCACCCTCAGCAGCCATCAGCAGCTGGGAGCGACTGACATTACCTTTGAACTCACTTCCCTCACCTTCCCTGGCTCTCATAGGAAGTCCTGAATGGGAAACTCACTCCCAGCCTCGGGGATGGACCTGCTCCCCTCCAGGTCTCCTTCCTCCTGAGAAGAAGCCCACTTGCTGATGGGGACCAGTGACCCACTGGTCCTGCTCCACCAGGCCAGAGGGCCGCTCAGCGTCAGGCTCCAGTGACTTGGCCAGGCTGTGAAATGCTTCACTTAGGGTCCTTTGGGGACAGTAAGTGCTAAGTAGCTTCAGGAAATCATGTGATGATGGAATGGGGGCCTTCAGGACACCCCTGCCCATGCACACCTCTGAACATAACAAACCAACTCATCTCCAATGCTGTCTGCCACTCAGGGAGATGTCACAGCAGCAGCCCCTCCCCGCTTGACCCCCACCCCAAGCCCCTGTTCTCCTATTTGAGCTTTGCCTTTGGACCTGATCTCAAACTCCCCCTCCATCCCCAGGACCTAAGCTCTGAGCCAGAAGCAAGCCCCTGATGGTGCCTCCCCCTCCAGGAGGACCACCCAGCCTAGCCCATTTCCCTGTCCTGCGCTCTGCTCCCCATGTTGAGTCACCTCATTTCACCCTCTCGAACCTCAACATATGTGCTCCACTTGCCTGGACAGTGTCACACATCATCACAGCCACGGGACACCTCAAGACACTATTGCAGTCTGCCCAGTACTGAGCCCATCCCAGCCAGCCCCAACTCCGTCCATCTTGATAGCCACCACCATAATGCTTCCGGTCCCTGTACTCAGATCACCCAGGGGCAAACAACCCCAAACTCCACATTCTCCCTCCCTCATTCCCCACGACCAATTAAATCCCACATGGGGCAAGTCCACGCCTGCCCTGCCTGACTAGGGCTTGCTCCTCTCGCCTGAACAGCCTCCACC